ATAATTCAAGGTCGGTGCACTTCTTGTGGCACTCCAAACCACAATGCACTGCACAGAGACAACAGCCTGGCAGCAGAAGCCGAGAACAGAGCTGTCTGCCATGCTGTAGTCTCACTGGACTCTGTCCCTGTCCACTAAAGAAAAATGTCTTTTAGAAACTCTTCAGAGCAGTGCTTTTAGTTTCTTTTTAAGCTGAAGCCATCTGTGGTCTGCTGGGTCTAATAACTGTTCTGTGTTTAATCTGTCCATCTTTGGAACCCCACCACTGTGTGTGGGCCCCCAAAAGAGGAGGAGGGGGACAATAGCTCCCCCGCCGACTCGGGACTTTAGGGTAATTGCTGTGAACAGGAAGCCAAGTGGGTCACAGAGGATTCATATTTCAGTTGGATTGCACCCAAAAGGCTAGCATAACTGCTAATGAGGCGTTACGTCAAGTAAACAGTGTTGAAAAGAGAGCCTCAAAAGCAAAAAGTAGTTTCAAAAGCTGCGGGAGCCCTGTACTGTCTTTGTGCTGAGTGCTTGGACATGGTCTTAAAGAAAAAGGGCTGTATGTTACAGTGATTTTCCCCTCAGTAAAGAGTAGAGCTGGGACGATAAGTAAAATTAAAGGAACAGCATGGCGAAAAATCCATTTCACATGATTTTCTACTTACCCCAAATGTAGTTGATCAGCCAAGACATGTTTAATGTTCCGATTTTGCTTCTTTAGTTTAGAACCGGAGCTGCTAAGTTAACAGTGCTAACAAACACTGGAAGTCAATAGTCACCCAAACCGTTTCCATAAGTACACACCAAAATGTTCATATATTTGGTTGAAATTATGTTGATGAGCTATGTAAATGCAAAAAAATGAATTTGTAAAATGGCATAGATAGACCCTATTTAATAGAGCCAACTTCAAAGTCTGGGAGGATGGAGTGTTGTAAAGAATACATAGCATTAGCACAATAATATCTAAGGCTTGCTTACCATGAGAGTTAGAAGTTACATATCGAATAATGATGAATCTGCAAGAATGAGATGCTGCGTTCTCTTTTGCAAAATCAGAGGAAATCTACAGGCAACGAACCACAAACTAGCAAGAGAGAAGCTCAGAAAAGTTACTAAAATCTACTGTTTTCAAAGATGACACTTTATAAAACTTAATGTAACTTAATGTTATACATAGCTAAGAGGTGGGTTAGGGGAGTCACCGGTGAGTCTAACAAACAATGTATTTCTTCATGTGAAATTTTCAGGGTCAAACATACACGGTTGTGGCTCGTTTGTACAGAATGTTTATTCCTCAAATTCGTAATTGGACACTGTATTGATTTTCGGAAACAGAAAATCAACCTGCACTACTCTACTGTGCATCTGACCATCCGAAACTGCATACTACCATACTAGATAGTATGTGAACAGTAGTGCATCAGCAGTAGAACTCCATTCGTTAGTGCGCTATGTGTAGAATAGTAGTCTGTGGTTTTGGATGCAGTATTAAGCCTGGTTTATACCTCAGGCGTCGCAAAACTCGCAAAGGCCCATGCGGCTAAAATTAAGTCACATGCCCAGACATGCTCCTGCGCAAAAGCTCTGTGTGTCTGTCGATCGCCGTGTCGGGCACGTGGAAAATTGGACTTGGAGACTTTTGAAGCGGTCCACCTAGCGGACAGGAGAATAGTGTGGCCCCTTTATTGACATGCCACAAGTGAGTATGAAACGCCTCGTCGTTGCGAGGTAACGCACCTCTTCCGTCCTCATTCACGTGACACTGGATGCGGAAAGTATAATCTAGTCTTTAGTAGGGGTGGGAGGCTCTAGGCACCTCATGATTCAATTCGATTACGATTCAGAGGCTGCGATGCGATTATAAAATGATTATCGATGCATCTCAATGCATCTTTTTTTCTATACAGATTTTTTTTCTCACTGTCTGAGGACTTGGTACTTTTAAAGCGAAGTATTTGTAATGATCCACAATGAATTTACTTCTAATATCTTTTATTAATAAAACAAATGAAAGTGTTGTGGCAAGTGAACTGGAAGGCACATGAGACACTGGCTGCCACTCATCTGCGATAAAATGCGCTGTAACGGTGATATAAGATTCTGTGGCAGTGGGCGTCCGCATAGCACGTTACAGCTATTGTGCCCGTTTTCTTTTATATTTTTTTGATTTTGTAACTCCAGTTTTGGTTTCGCTGTAATATCTTTGAGAAGGGACGCTGAGTCTTGGCTCATATCGCAAATATCGCGAAAGCCCTGGTTCTCGACGACTGAGAACTGATGTGCAGACTGCAGGTCACACAGCGACGCAGTGTCGCCTAGCTAATAGCTAACGAAAAGGCAAAGAGAGAGATTTAAGACGAACATTTGGAGACAAATGGACTTATTCTCATTTATAAGCAGCGCAGTTGGTTTCCTGGAACGTTAAACCTGCAATGAGAGACTGTCACACACTAAAAAGTTGTGAAGATGAAGTCGCTTCTCTTTAGAATTCTCCCGTTCCACCTTAAATGGTGCTGCATTTACATTCTTGCGCCTCGGGCAGAATTAAAGGTGGAATTGGAAAATTCGAACAAGAAGCTGGAGAATAAGAAGCGACTTCAGCCTCGTAAAACAGTCGAATGCTGAGAGACTTTTAACTGATCAACTTCTGAGGAAAGGTTTTCTGGCGGAGACGGGAGGAAAGCAGCTGTAGGCGAAGCTTAAAGCAGAGAGAAGTAAATCTGCGCTCTCGTTTATATTGTTTAGTCTATACTAGGACATTCATCACACACTGAAACATACTGGACATAAGTGTTGTGGCTCCCAAGGTGGTTTGATGTTTGTTGAAAGGACAAAATGTCTCTTCTTAATTTGTGTTGTGACTCCTGACCTAACCTGGCTTTAATGCAGAGGGAGCCGGTCGGATTTCTCACTCATCCAGTGGTGTTTTTGTTATGTGTCGCCACAGACTGTCCGGGCGCTGCACTTACCCACTTCCAAGTTTTGCCTTTTGCGTTTTGTCAACATTACGTTATAAATTAAATATTCAGAAAATCGATTTTTGACATTTGTGAATCAATTCAGAATCGTCCACATCCGCATCGCGATGCATCTAAGAATCGATTTTTCCCCCCCCACCCGTAGTCTTTAGTCTTATTTTCATCTTGTTCAGAATTATGCAGGGTTTATATAGGTTTTGAACATTTTTTGGCTTAAACCATAGAAGCAATCTAGCAACCATGACCTCTGCAGTGTAACATTCATATTCAAAAACTCTGTGTCTGTTTTGAAAGTCCATCCTGATGAATGTCATCACTCTACTATTGTATCACTGTTTATAAATGTTTGAGGAAATAGTTTGGCAAAAAAAAATAAATTACCCATTTTTCCACTTACCCCAAATTTAGTCGATCAGCCTAGACATGTTTAGAGTCTGAAATTTGCTTCTTTAGTTTTACCTGGAGCTACGAAGCTAATTTGGCTAACAAGTGGAAGCTAACACTCTAATTAGCACTGTGCAGAATGCCTACCGAAATCATCGCAAACTTGTCTGAAACCATGTTTAGTTGCTAAGTAAGCTCAAATAAACTTGATTACGTGGTTTCTGACACCATACGACACACTTTATCTATGAAACTGGACAAAAGTACATAGCATGGCTAAAAACAGTAGCTAGCCGCCAGCTTGAACACCAGTAAAGGCTAAGAACTCCTTGACTTTCTGTCCTTTATTTTGTATGAGGAACTTGTTTAATGTAACATGATTTACTGGAATCAGTAACTGTTCTGAGATTTAAAGAATGACTGTTGTTCACATATGGAACAAATGAGAATGCCACACATTCACACATGGAACACATTAGCAGCTAAGAGGAGCTTTAGGTGTATCAGTAATTTTCAATTAGCCCTGGTCTGAATTAAGCACAAGTCCAGTAGAGCGGTATGCTTTAACACAAATCAGCAGCGGTTCAGGTATAGCTGACTTCTTTGTCCAAACCCAGCGATGCAGGAACACATTATAGTTTTTAAACGGCTGCTGACCCACGTTCAGATCTCTATCAGAGTGTTGTAGTGACCAAACAGCCATGAACTGACGTACAGAGGGCAGAAACAAGCTTGAGAAATTACAACAATTCAACAAAAATCTTGGCAACTGTAGTTATTTTAAGAGGGGCCTGTTTTTCTGACGTGGTTTACCACACAGAGTAAGACATTTTCTTAACATAAATGTGATTTAAAGTGAACTGCTGCATCAGGCAAGGAGCTTTACTGGGTAATGTTAATGTCTTGTGCTTTTGAATCCCCCCCAGTAAAATTACTGGTGTTAAATTACAACCATCAGTGTTCTCTGAGCCATTTGGAAGTAATGATACTCCACAATGTTAATTCAACATTTAGGAGTCTAGAGTTATTACTGTCATTGCTATGCATTAGGTTTCCATATTCTTATTGAAAAGTGTGTAGTTTTATGCTGAAATACATCATTTTTGTTCAGTTTGCATTCCGTATCATCAAGTTTGAGTCTTGTAGCTTTTTTTGCTTTTGTTTTAATGGCAGAAATTTCCTCCACAATTGGGGTTTTTATGAGCCCATATTCAATATTTTCTTGAGGTCTAGTTACAATATTTATGTAATTTTATAAACCAAAATAGTTGTAATTCCTTTTAAATCCACATTCCACCTCTCTTTTTCCCTTAGAACTAAACACTCTCTGTTCATTTGCCTTACAAGACTGATACATGAAATTTCTCTCTGTTCAGATTGCCGTGCTTTGTATTTCATTCATTTCTAAAAGCGCTTCAGGCTGAAACACTCCTTATAACTTCAGTGTGAATGGGGCTAAACTGCTATAGGCTGAACAGGTGGAAATTCTGTTTCGACAGAATTTCTTTGCTTCTTTCAATAAACTATGAGTCAGAAATAATATAGAACTACAACTTTTATCACCAGTAATGTTTGAACTACGACTTGAAACGTCTAAAGGTTAACCCCACTGACTTTTACTCTGTCTTTGTGTGTGTGCTGTGTCAGGTCTGGGACACGGAGCTGGAGCGCAGTGCGGAGGATTGGGCTCACAGCTGCCGGTGGGAACATGGCCCTCCTCACCTGCTTACGCAGATTGGTCAGAACCTGGGGGCACACTGGGGCAGGTGAGGGTCAGAGATAAGCACTAATGTACTCATTCGTTGCATACTACTCCTTCAGCTAGAAAAAGAAAAATGGGAAAAAGGCTACATGAATGTTTGTTACAGGAACCAGTGAATCAAAGCACATAGCTTTAGTTAGCATCATGAAAATGGCATCATGCCAACTGTAACTGCTGGACCATTTAAGGTGGAATAGAAAATGTTAATAAGAAGCCAACTTCAGCTTTGTGGTAAGCCCTGAGTCAGTCCTGTGTTTTTTTATCTTGCCTCTAGAATTTTTGTCTGAAAATAATACAGGTTTGTGATATTGCAGTATGAGTACTGCTTATACTTATGAGTAATTGTACTATATACTTATGAGTTTCGTGCTACAAATGTTTAGTTGTTAAACTTGTCACTTTTTGTGTCTGAAAATACAACTGAAAATGGTTGAAGTGTTTGGCCATAAAGCTGTAAGGCCCAATCCCATCTCACCCCTTGCCCCTACCTCTTCACGACTCTAGGGGTAGGGTGTCCTGATTTTTGTTGCGATAGAGGGGTAGGGTGAGGTTTTTCAGAGACTCACTCCAAATGGAGAGTCGTGAGAAAAAAAAGAAAATCCGGCAAGAAGCGACCAAAGAAACCCACAAATGTGAACATTTTCTCCAGAAAATGACAATAACCACTTTACTATCTTAGGTCAGTGTTGTTTCAATGTATTATGGTTCTTTATAATAAGCATAAAAATTTGTCAGTAGTTTGCTGAAATCCTGGTAGCTAGCTAGCAATTTTCCCGTTCCACCTTGAATGGTGGAGCAGTTACATTCGGCTGCCTCAGAAGCTTGAACAAGAAGCTTTATATCACTGAAGAATTAGGGGTGGGTGATAATAAATGATTATCTGTCCCCCCTCTCTGAAGGCATGTGATTCCCTAAACGTAACTAAAGCCCAGCAGTGAGGTTGCTGACCTTACCCTCCTCTACTATCACTGCAGACTGGCAGGGTCGCCTACAGAGCAGCGCTGTTAGCTGATAATGAAGTAATGTTCTTTTTTATTTGAGAATTGTCCCAATTCACAGGGAAGATTTCAACCACTACACTGTGTAACTTGTTCCAAGGGGTAAGGAGACACCCGATAAACAAGGGGTAGGGGTAAAAATAAGAAACGGGATTGGGCCTAGGATTGCACCTGTGTCACATCAGCTTGTTGCAGTGTTAGTGTTGTGAAACCAATTCAAACCTTGGTTGTTAAGCATCGCACCATCCTTCGGCCAGTCATGCCACAGGACAGTAGGCAGTCATCACTAATGTTATATACTACATCAAACTTTCATATTTAAAAAAAGTGAAGAAAATTCAGTTTTCCATGTTACGGGCCTTTTAAAGCAGAAACTGCCCGACACAGTTCACAAAAAGTGTAGGCAAGTTAGTGTGATCTCATTTAGGAACCCCTACTAGCTTTTCATTCATCATCCTCAGTCTTTTTGGGTGAACCAGTTAACTGCAGGGATATGTACTGTTGATAAATAAATAAAAAAGTTATAACTGATGCTCTTTGAAAAGAGATTATTTCACAAGCTTGGCTCCAAGCCACAAATTGTATTTGTCTGTTTCTGCACTGTGGACAGACTCTTGTAAAAGGGAGGAAAAATGAATATATTTTCATTCTAATTTTTATCAACATCAGCATTTTTGGGCAAAACAGTTCTTTAATCACAGCAGCCTGCCTACAGTCAGAAAATGAATCAAACCAAATTTAATTATGCCACACACTTTCATGCAGTCTAATAGAGCAGAGATAGCATATGCAGACTTCGTTACCTCAGCATAAAATGCATGTCCAGTTAATGTTGACTTATTTTGGTAATACTTTCTTTGAATGTCACCTTTGTAAGCATCTATAAACACAATCATAACATGTTATAATGCATTCATAAGACATTATAAACATGGCTATAAATATTTATAAAAATGCATTATACGTTATAGCCATGTTTATTATGCATTATGAATTGTTAACATAATACATTTTAAGTACTGATCATAACAAATTATAAGAGCTCATAAGTGGTATTTGTCCGCTCTAAGTAAAGTGAAGCGTACTGTACTAAAGCCTCCTCCAGTGTTCAGAGTGAGGCTTCAAGTTGAAGTATTTACTGAAGGATTTACTGAAACACTAAAACATTCACAGTAAAGCACATTACAGGCTTCAAATGTCAGAGTTTAAACTAGAGCTGCCATCAGTGTTTTACCCAATGTGGGAAAGGTAATGTACACCACCGTTAGCTTGGTATTTGTCTTTACTTTACGCTCTCCAAGCTGGGACTGACTTCTGATGTTATTAACACTATTTATAATGCATTACATTAACAATTCATAATGTATAATAAACATGGCTATAAAGTGTAATTCAGTGTAATTCTTTTTTATAAATATTTATAACCATGTTTATAATGCCTTATGAATACATTATAACATGTTATAAATGTGTTTATAGATGCTTACAAATGCGACATTCATAGAAAGTGTTACCCTTATTTTTTGTTTGTAAGTCAAAAATTACTTTTTTTTCTTTTTTTTAAGTGTACACTGATGCATTAAATTGACCTTATTCAGGTGAACATTTCTACAGGAATAAAACATATTACCATCAGTGATCACAAACCCGCCTCCTGCTGCTCATTGATCCACTTTCCTGCAGAGTTTAGTTCCTACTTGTATGTACAACATTGCCCCGCCCCATTATTTAACATTAATACACCTGATTCAGCCAATCATCTTCTTGGGAAGTTGTTAATTAGCGGGAGCAGATATTACATCAGCACAGTTACTGTTAAAATTAAGAGGAAATTGCACTTTCCTTTCTGCATAATTTAGTTATCATGATGTAAATAAAGTCATTCACAGTGGTTTGATGTGAAATGCACAGTTCTAGAGAAACTTAGAGTCAGAATATTTGAAACTGTTGGTGATAGCAACCACAAGTCCAAAGCATTTAATGCCTTTAAAGGTGCAGTGTGTAAGATTTAGGGGAATCTGTTAGCATGAAGTATAGAAAAGCATTTTTTATTAGTGTATAAAATCTATATCACCTGTAACTACGAATCTTTGTGTTTTCATTAGCTTTATATCTAAATAGAGAGCAGCTCCTCTTCTAACAGAGGCCGCCATGTTTCTACAGTAGCTCAGAGTGGACAAACCAAACACTGGCTCTAGACTTTTTCTGCTGAAGTGTCAGCTTGAATTTGGTGATGCTATAGTAACGGTTGGAAGACGTAGAAAGAAGAAGAATCAGTGACTGCTGTCAGTGCTGCGTTTGCAGAGACAGGGGTGGGGTATTGAGTTGGTTGCAGTCTGCAACCTCACCACTAGATGCCACTAAATCTTACAGACTGCACCTTTAAAGCTACACTGTATGGACACAAGTATTGGGACACCCCTCCTAATTATTGAGTTCAGGTATTTCAGCCACACCTATTGCTAACAGGTGGATAAAATGAAGCACACAGCCTTGCAGTCTTGATAAACAATTGCAGTACCATGTGTTAAGCAGCTGCACACAAGCCCAAGATCAAAATGCACGATGCCAAACATCGGATGGAGTGGTGTAAAGCGCCGCCACCGGACTCTGAAGCAGTGGAAACGTATTCTGTAGAGTGACGAATCATGCTTCTCTATCTGGCAATGTGATGGACGAGTTTGGGTTTGACGAATGCCAAGAGAACGTTACCTGCCTAACTATATTTTGCTAAGTGTAAAGTTTGGTGGAGGAGGGATGATGATATGGGGCTGTTTTTCAGGGGTTGGCCAGGAATCCTTAGTTCCAGCAAAGGGAAATCTTAATGCTTCAGCACCAAGACATTTTAAACATATCGATGCTTCCAACTTTGTGGGATCAGTTTGGTGGAGGCCCTTTTCTGTTCCAGCATGACTGAGCCCCAGCGCACAAAGCAGCTCCATAAAGGCCTGGCTGGGTGAGTTTGGTGTGGAAGAACTTGACTGACCCTCACAGAGCCCTGACCTCATCCCCATCCAACACCTTTGGGATGAACTAGAACAGAGATTGTGATCCAGACCCTCTCGTCCAACATCAGCGTCTGACCTCACAAATGCTGTTAGAGCTGCAAAGGGGGACCAACTCCATATTAATGCCAATGGATTTAGAATGGGATTCATAAAAGCTCCTGTAGGTGTAATGTGTAGGTGTCCCAATACTTTTGTCCATATAGTGTACATATGAAATGGTTATGAATTCTTACCCTGAGGTTTTGGCCTAAAACATATATATTTTTTGCGGTGAGGTAGCTATATTTGCATTGAATGCTTCATGACCCCTGGTTTTCTGTCAATAAACCATTTCACATCAAACCACTGTGAAAGACTCTGTTTACATCTCATTGATTGAATTAAAAAAATTAAATTGTCTTTTACGTAAAGACAAGATTGTGCTGATGTAAAACTTTTTATTTACATGGAAATTATGTGAATATTTGAGTCAAGTAATTTGAGTGCATCACATTTTTCGTTGCAGTAACCGTAGCATATCATTACTGTTGGAAAAGAAAATGTATTTCCAAAATGGTAACTTTACAGGAGAGGGAAAAAGGGTTTAACTTTCAGTTGAGTTAATGGAGCAAGATTTTTGTTCCAAGCAATTTTGGAACATTTCTTTTAGTCAGTTCATCATGAACTTTTTTTTACACAGTGCGCATGGTGACTGATGTTATTTCTTTGTTTTTTTTTTTTTCTTTTCAGAGACAGGCCTCCAACCTTTCATGTGCAGGCATGGTATGATGAGGTCCGTTATTTCAGCTACCCGTATCCACAGGAGTGTAACCCCTACTGTCCCTACAGATGCTCTGGACCCGTCTGCACTCACTATACACAGGTATAAATGCTCTTCAATACACAAAACACATAGGCACAGGTGCTGTTTAACTCTAAGAAGTACAGAGTTGTCACTGTTTTGCTGTATGTGTGGTTTACATCACACAATAGAACAATATAAATGTAACTAAAAATGAATTATTACAGTACTGTGCAAAAGTCAGGTGTTTAATTTCCAGTCAAAACAGTCATTAAGTACAAGTTACTCATTCAGGAGATATTTTTGAGAAAATTCAGTATAAGATGCAAAAGGAAGGGAAATGTCAAAAAGTCCAAACCTGCACTGAATTGGGTGTTTGGGATTGCTTAGATTGTGAAGCAGAAAATGAAACCAACTTCTATGACTGAACTTTTATGGAAAAATATCCCTGCAGATTTCTTTGTAAAACTAAAAGCAAGACTCCTGAAAAGAATAAATGCATTATATTTAATTGTTGAGGCTTCATTGTAATTTTGTTTTCTGCTTTTTTTCTGATACTTGTACTTTATGGATGTTTTGACTGTAAATTAAATAAATGGATTGTGGTGTCTGACATTTGCACAGGTCCGTAGTTACACAGTGAGTTACTTTTACATACAACAAACAAGTGCATGCAGTGTTTTATACTCTACATCAGATGTCTCATGCCTGCTTTCAGCCTTTTTCCATTTGTCTTGATGCTGAGAACAAAAAATGGAAAAATAATTTGTTTCTCTCTGCCAAACATCAAATTCAAACCATAATAATAAAATATCTTCTACTTGCAAAAATAAATGAGGTGTAGATTGAAAGCTTAGAATCTGCCACTTTACACAGAATGTCTGTTTCATCGTCACTGAGCTTCGTGTTTGAAATATAATTTTACAGCAATAACTGCTTTAAGAGGTTAAATTATACTATACATCTCTGTTTAGGTCCCAATACAAAAACAAAACAAAACATAAACCTGTTGTTCAGTGTGCAGTACTGCATTAGCAACAGTTACATCTGACTTAGGCAATGTTTCCCAAAAGAGGATGGTGCATTGCAACAACCTCTATATGATGGAGCGTTCAAAGCAATAATATCACAGCCGTAAAATGAGTATTGTGCTGTGAGGCTTTGGGGAAATCTGACTTTCTATTGCTTCAGAGAGTGATGATCATTGCTATACTGAAACAATAGAAGAGGGTATGTTGTCGTAAACCAAAGGCTTTGTACAGTTTTGCAATGTGGAGAAAAAACATTGGCAATTTCTCGTGCCAGTAGTCTCTAACTCTACTTAGAGTAAAGCAACTAGGGCTGCAACTAACAGTGATTTCCATGATCAGTTGATTCGGAAAAGAAAATGTGTGGCCAGTGAGTCTGTCAATAACTACAATTATTAAATAAATTAAAAATACAAGCATTATTCCTGCTTGTGCCCTTTCATACATAAAACACCTGCCCTATCTTTTAATCCCTTGAAATCCCAGACTTATTACATACTAAGGCTTATTATTCAGTAATTACAGGGACTTCAGTGCAAACTGGCTGAGCTATTCTTTAGTTATAGAAGTGTCCTGCTGGTGGGCCCTGGACCTTTAGCAGTTACATCATACTTTTATCAAGATCAACAAGATGCCTTTTGCTTTGCCTTTAAAAAGCTCCAGAAACTTTAGATAAACAAGGCATGCACAAATCTTACATGGCGGAGGTAGTTTTTCTCTGTGAGAACTCTGCATTGCTATTCAGATGATTTCCCCTGTTCCTCCTGATAAAGCAAAGATAAATTATTTTTTGTGGGGTTGGTAACATTATATAAACAAACCTGATATTAGCAAGCACACAGCAGCCGCCTGGCTAACAGCCATGTCACACACAGGAATATAAGCTTATTCACTGATCGTCAAACAGCAGTAAACGGCTCCCGAGTGGCGCAGCCGTCTAAGCGTTGGCCTGATCATCAGGAGATCGCGAGTTCGATCCCTGGTGATGCTACAGCCGTCCTTAGCCGGGAGTCCGAGAGAGCACAACTGGCCTCGCTCTCTCTGGGTGGGTAGGATGGCCCCTCCTTCTCCCCCCATCTCTCAGCGCGATGCTAGTCAGCGCAGGCGTCTGTTAGCTGACGTAACAGATCTGGCGGTTGGCGCTTTCCTCCGAGCGCGTTCGGCTGTCCAGTGACGTTGCGTGAGCGGCAGCTCGAAAAGAAGCGGTGGCAGGTTTCACAGGTCTCGGAGGAAGCCTGTGTTAGCCTTCACCCTCCTAGCGTTGATAGTATCGTGTGATTGGGGGAGCCCTAACTAGCGGGTGGAATTGGAGACGACTAAATTAGGGAGAAAATCGGGTAAAAATAAAAAAAAAAAAAACAGCAGTAAACAAGTCAGTGTGTTTGAAAACAGTAGCATTTTCCAAAAGCTCCGTTTTTTGTGCGAGCGAGAGGCCAAAACAAGGAGAAAAAGCTACACTTTCAAAAAAATGTGTATTCGTGATGACGAGCAGGTCGGAGGGCTTGAACTGGCAGTGAATAAGTATAATTTAGCTGTAATTGATTATTTTGCTAAATCAATACAGCTTGCTGAAAGCAGACAGCCACACTCTTTGAGTTTTGACTCCTCACACATGACAGTAGCGCTGCCGTCAAAGGTGAGCTCGGGAAATCTTCTTTTAGATGACGTTTTAGTGAAGTATTCTATATATAATGGTGCATAACTCTGTAATGTAGTCTTGATATCTGTATTTTCCCTCTTACATTCAACTGAAGTTAACAGGGAGCGCAAACATTGTTAAACCAACTAATCAATAACGATTCATTGCCAACAAGTTTTTATTATCAGCGTTATTGACAATGTCAGCAATGCCCTAAAAGCAGTCATGGTTGTTATTTACTTGTTATTTAGACATAGAATGAAGTCCAAAATAAATGGGTTCCTCTAGAGCTTTTGAGAAAAATTGTAATTTATAGATGGTTAATCATTTTTAATACACTCTTTTTCTCAGCACACACCAGCATACAATATTTCAACATTGTTATCATATTTTTAAAGCTTTTCAGCTCTAGTTTTGAGATTTTCTAACAGTGCTGCATGTAAATTCATGATGTGAGTGCAAATCATTTTGACTTTACTCACCCAGGGGTCGCAACCCAAATGTTGAGAAGAGCCATTTCTCCTTTAAAAAAAATCAAATCATCTTAGGAGCCGCAACATTTTGTCTGTCCATTTTAACACCGTGGCTGGTAATAAGTCTCAGTATGTGCTAATGTCCAAATATAGGCAAAAAAAAAAATTATATAAACAAAAAAAGATTTACTTTGCTCTGCTTTAAGCTTTAGCTGAGCTATAGCTGACTTTCTCACATCTCTGGCATTTCCGCAAAAGTAGAATAGTTTCGTGTAAAATGTCTCTCAATGTTTGATTTTTTTATGAAGCTGCGCTTCTCATTTGCCAACTTCTTGTTCAAATTTTCAAACAAGAAACTGACTTCAGCTTCAGGACTTTTTGGTATCAGAATCAGGAAACCAGCTGGAGTGATTATAAACGCAAATAAGTCCATTCATCTCCAATGTTCGTCTTAAATCTTTCTCTTTGCCGTTTCATTAGCTACTAGCTAGGCGAGACTGTTGTCTGTGTTGCTAAGGTGACCAGCAGTCTGCGCTGATCTTCAGGGTTAAAGGGTGAATTAGCAGTTCTACATTAACTCCAGAGTTTAAGACCATTTATTGTTAAACTGTGTTGAACGATCAGCAGAGCTTTATTTTACTGTGAAGGAGGATTATTTTATTTTTACCTACAAATCGCTCAGTAGTAATAATGCTAGCAGTGCACTGTCCTCTGTAGATAAATGGAAAGATACTGTAATACTGTAATATTCTATTTTCCTAAATTAACGGATATTTCTGCATGAACGACTGGAAAAATATTTAATTAAACTCTTTAGCTATTTAGCTCCATCCCATTCAATAAAGACTCGCGGGCGCCCCCTTGGCATTTTGCCAGTCTCATGTTGTTTGGAGGAATGGAAGTAGCAAGTGTCCTGCCTCCCCTTAAACTGGCTTTGGTCATCAAAATGATAGAGGTATGGAGAAATAAATCGTGCAGTAATAAGGGGTAGAATGCAATCAGTCATCAGTGGTCAGAACTAACTGTTATATAAAAGTTGTAATTGATTATTGTGCTTTAAGGCGTTTAATTAGAAAATGTTTTGTGTGTTGCTGTTTGGTTTCAGCTGGTTTGGGCCACCAGCAACAAAATCGGCTGTGCCATCAATGTGTGTTACAACATGAACGTTTGGGGCATGATCTGGGCCAAAGCTGTTTATCTGGTCTGCAATTACTCTCCACCGTAAGTAGAATTTTACTCTCTCAGGCTTTTCTGACTACATTAATGAAGAGCACTGAACATGTTAGGGATCCTTTCTCAATCACACTTAGCTGGCACACTTAGTTGGTGTCTGTTTAATGGTGATGTGGTTGTTCAGGGCTAATTTAAACCTTTGGTCTCCACAGTGATGGAGTTTTGTAAAAAGTGTGTTGTTTTTGTAGGGGGAACTGGTGGGGTCATGCTCCATATAAACATGGACACCCGTGCTCCGCCTGTCCGGCCAGCTATGGAGGCGGCTGCAGAGACAACCTCTGCTATAAAGGTATGTTAGTCCACATTAACTAAATCAACCCAAATGGTCACTGATGAGGCTCAAAGAGTAGAATTTGAAATATTTGTCAGAACCTGGCTGGGCCTGAGTGTTTGCATCACGTTTAGTTGGGCTGGGAGGTCGTTTCCTACGTACGTATCAGGTTCGGTTCAGTTTCAAATTTCATGTTTGAGCTCTCACACCCTTCTTTGTCCTCTGCTTTCTCCTTACTTTTTGCCTTCTGCTCTATTTTCAATAAAACATTTTAATACTGCATGCTGAAATCACTCCTATTTGTTCAGTTTCAGATAGAAATTTGTTGGGCTCGGGTCAGTTTCGGCCTCCTCTAAGGTCTGCTTTAAAGACAAAGCAGGTTTATATAGATGAAAGCAATATCAAACAATTTTGGGAAAAAAACAGTCATTATTTAGACAAACATGCTCTTCATACCAAAGAAAACACTATAATGAAGCTAGTGATGAAACAAATAGCTGTTTTATGCTAACAGAATGTTTGCAGGGATTTTTACATACAGTGAGGTCCAAAAGTCTGACCCCACTAGTGCAAATGATTCTATTTATCTATCTATTTCTTTCTAATTTAATAAAGATTTCCACTACAAATTCTATTATCAGCATAACAATTTGAATGAAAAGTATCATTTTTGACATTTTTAGATGAATTTCAGAATTCCCCAGTATTTGGTATGTGACCCTTTTGCTTTAATGAGCAAGCACGAACTCCACGAGTTGGTGCAAACGCCTCTGATGAGTAGATAAAATGCTCCTGAGAGTCGTCTGAGAACAAGCTTCACTGGAAGAGCGGAGGCTGACCTCAACACAAGCAATGTCACAAATTTGCTTAAATTTTAAAGATCTAGAAAAAGTGCAGAATTTTTGTTTAAAATTAAAATATTCTGTTATTTATTTCAAAACGTAAAGTAAAAAAATATCCCAGGTTTTCCATGTGGTCTCCGACTTTCGGACCACACTGCGGCTGAAAAGGCACAGTGAGAAAATTCAGATTTCAAATTTCATCTTTAACTGTTTTGCCAGTAGCAGTTGTTGATTGTTTGTTTGTTTTTTAAGACGATGGCAGTCAGAGATATTATGATCCAGAACCGGAAGAGAGTAACTATATAGAGCCGGAGCGAGAGCCCGCCCGCAGTCAGGTGTCCCATCCTGCGGAGCCTTCACCCACTCCGCCTCCCAGCCACAGCCTGGACAGGAACGACGTCTCCAGCACTGACCAAATGTGTAAGATTTTCTGCCTCATTATTCTCACGTCATTTACGGACGTCTAGATGTGGATTGAGACACTCTGTGTTCAGATGTTTTGAACTGTTTTGAACTTCTGTGTTGAGCAGAGTTGCCTACTGTTGCCTCAGGTGGTGTTTACCTTACAAAGGGGGGAAATGCCCCATTAAGAACAGTGCCCATTTACTGTGAAGTGCCATCGTATCCATGCCTGTAGGATGGTGCATTAACCCTGTAAACAGTAGTTGTAGCCAATGGTGTTTTTATAACACAAAAAAACGAAATCTTATAAAGCTTCTTGCCTCACTACCACTATAAGATCTCCTTCAACCTGGGGTAAGAAGCCCCCTGGGCACAATTAAATATGGCATTTTTTTGCACATTTTAGTGCACAGTTTCTGTTTATTGGCTGTGTTTAATATATTGGGAAAAATATATATACACGTGAAATATAAGATGTGTCATAGGTTTTATACATTCTATGTTGCCATTGTCCCCAGTGTGTTAAATTCAGTAAATAAACAGTAACTGTGCATTAAAAAGTGAAGTAGTTCTCTGTACAGGATGTGTTAGCTGACTTTCAAACCCAAACTTTAAAAAAAAAAAGAGAAATACAAAGTGTATACAAACCGTATTGTAATAACGCACCAAGTTATTAAAAACCATTGGTGTTTATGGAATAACCTTTGACCATTATGTTGTTCTGCAACTGATTGAGAATCAGGTTGAGGTTACATAGAGTGTCTAGTCCACGGGTCAGCAACCCAAATGTTAAGAAGAGCCATTTTGTCCTTTCAACAAAAATCAACCCACCTTGACAGCCACAACATTTTATGTCCATTTTACCATTTTGGCTGTAAAGATGTAAGTATAGACTAAAAAATATAATATAAATGAAAACACAGAGTTACTTTGCTCTGCTTTAAGCTTTAGATCAGTTATAGCTGCTTTTCCCGCATCTCAGGCAGGAAACTTTTCCACAAAGGTAGAACATTTTCTCGTAAAATGTCTCTCAATGTTCAAGTTTTTACTAGGCTGAAGTCGCTTCTCATTCACCAGCTTCTTGTCTGAATTTTCCTGTTTCACCTTAAATGTAAAAATTCAGAATGTAACTGCTGCAGCCTTTAAGGTGGAACAGGACAATTTGAACGAGAAACTGCCGAATGTAAAGCTGATTTCAGCCTCGCGATTTTTGTGTTTGACGGTTTTTCTTTGCAGATCAAACGTATTAGGAAACCAGCTGAGTGCTTGAAAACACAAATAAGTCTGATCGTCTTTGAATTATCGATATGATTGATATTCGTCTTAAATCTTTCTCTTTGCCTTTTCGTTAGCTACTAGCTAGGCACGATTGTTGTCTGCATTGCTGTGGTGACCAGCAGTCTGAGTGCCAATCTTTCAGGGTTTAAGGACGGTAAATTAGCAGTTATAGGCTGCATGTAACTCCAGCGTTTATGATTATTGTTATAACTGTGTTAGAACGATTAGCAGAGCTTTATTTTGTTGCTCTGGAGCCACATGTTGGCGACCCCTGGTTTAGGGTTTGTGAAATGTTGAGTTGAACTGAATGTTGGGTAAAGCTATGTTAGTTGAAATGTCTACAGTGTATCATTAAAATAAAGGGTCAGCACTTAAGTAACTTGCTTGAGGGGACAATGCCAGTCCTAGGCCACCACCACCCGTAGAGCTTAAGTCTATTTTTCAGTTTACTGCTATGTATTGGGATATTCTACTGCTAGACTTCATTCGTGCTAAAGTAAGCATGGGTGCAGATGGAGCATGTACGAGTTTTGGCTGGGTGATGTCACTGACCTCGGACAGGATTCTGGACTTGTATTTGACTGATCCTTTCAGTGTATGTTTACCTGTGTGATGTGGGGGTTAGAAACAGCTTCCCTCTCTACGAGCGGCCCCTCGGCGTGTTGAGGCTGTCAGCGCTGATGAGTTTAGCAGCTGTGCTGTTCATGTTTTACGCACTCAAGGCTTTTCATATGAATTCATACTACATTACTATAAGACAGTATTTAACAGTCATATGCAAAGGTTTGGGCAATTTGCATGATTTGTTGATTTTCAAAGTAAAAATAACCCATCCTCTACAGAGAACACACCTCAGCACAAAAACTCAGCAAATAAATACAAAATGTGCACTAAAATTAGCAGAAAAGTGCCATATTTAAGTTCCTGGTAGAGGATGTGTTGATGTATTTTCACTCAGAAAATCAAGTATAATTTGACTGGGGCTGTTGAAACGTTTGCATGCTGTAACCATATAATTAATTATGTAATTACATTTATACAGTATAGCAAAACAACAACTTACAGTAGATTTCTAAGGCTTAAAGACTACTAAACATAATTGTTAACACCTTCTTGGGAATCTCAACATGACTAGCTTTTGACCTTGAGTGGCTACAGTATATGAATCCTAATAAGAGCCCACTGTACACACTGAGTAACTCACTCATGCAGTCAGATTGATTTGATTATCCCTTTTTTTGCAGCACAGCAAGTGTCGTGCGATACAAAATTACGGGATCAGTGTAAAGGAACCACCTGCAACAGGTACATCTTTTAGTTCTTTATTTTTGACATTGTACAGCCAGATGGACGTTAGGTGGGCTCTATTATGTGCTCCACCAACGTTAGTTAACCAGCTAACTTAGTTAGTTAACCCTCATTAAGGCAGTACCCAAATGTGGTACTGCCTTAACGAGGGCATGTTGCCAAGTAACATGTTGTTAAGGACGTGACGAAGAAGCCGACATAAAGCTGCTTTTATCGCTATAGGCTAGGCTGATGTTAGGTCCAGAAATAGTTCAAATAGCAGCCTCCATTATGACCAATTCCTTTGGCTATTTTTGGATAATGGAATGTTTTGAAATGCATTCCTCTGTGTGATGCAAAATTTTGTGCAACACAAGAGTTGTCACCTAAAAGGGTAACACACAGTTCTACATTCATTTCAGCCAAAATCTGTTTTTGTTTTGTTTGTTTATTGGCATTGTTCTTTTTTCTTTTCTGTGGTAAGCTGGATACATATTCATGAATACACTCACACACACACTCACATTTTCTAAGCCACTTATCCTTCTGGGTCGCGGTTCCTGAATACAGATACTCAAATATCAAAATTAGTTCGCGTGGACATCCAGTGAGTAATGACACAGGTTAATAAGAAAGTGTCCAAATTCATTTATTGATTCATATGTTTTTACTGCTGTTTAGTAAAGTAAAAAGACCCCCCCAACCACCCCCCCACCCACCCCCAACATGGCACGATACCAATGAAGGAAGAGGGATCCGATCCAGTCACAACCTAGTTATAATGGGATTTTATTGCATTTCTTTACAAAACAATTCAATGAATCATAACATCTCAAAATTTCTATTTTTTATAAATTCACTGAAAATGCAGATGTGACTGGAAGAAATATTTACAAAATAGAGAAATATAAGCGATAGAAAAATAAAAACAATACACAAAGTGGTCATGTGTTTTGTTATTGTTGTTGTTTCTCGGAGAGGTTGTATTTCACATTTGAATATAGCCTGAGATTGTAAATGGAGTGCATAATCATCAAATCTTACAATAGTTCACTATAATTGATTCTAACAGTTCAAAATGTTATGTTTGTTAACAGGTATGAGTGTCCAGCGGGTTGTTTATACAGCTATGGAAAAGTGATCGGATCAGGACATTATGATATGGTTAGTGATGCATACATACATTAAAATACATACTCAGGTTCCACACTACAATAACTCTGAGCAGTCTTGGAGAGATACAGCACTGCACAGTCTTATTTTCAGTCTGACTCAGCTAACTATGAAAACTTTCATGGGCTGAATGGTTGTATTTAAGCAGCGGTCAGACCCTCTGCATTTGTCAGCCTATTGCGCAGTGTCACAGTTGTGTCTTTATTTCATATATATCACTGCTGTCGGTATGTTTCCCTTTATATGTCAAAATTTCATGATGAATGGCCCGAAAGAAATGGCCCAAAATTACTCGGGAAAACGTCTGGTTCCATTGACTTACATGAAAGTATTTTACTTTTCCTGTAAAGTGACCATTTTGGAGATACAAGATTTTGTTCTGAGTGATATGAAAAGTTATATTAGTGTTATCCATTACAAACTTTGTCAATGTCGTAAGAAAATTCTTTTTTTCTTGTCTTTAATTGTATTAATTAATTTGAAATTGCCAACTAACATTTTAAATTCCATGAACACTTTAAGACAAATGCACCAATAGAAAAGGATTCACATCTTGGAAAACCAAATTTTCCTCACTTTTTTGAAACAAGAGTTCGATGTAGTATGTAAACATTAAAATACGTTAAAATATCAAAATCCATTCCAAAACTAAGTTGCAAAAACAGCCCATTTTGAACTGATTGTTTCTGTGATGTCACACAAAACAATCCATTTACATGCATCTACCTGTTCAGCCTATAGCAGTTTAGCTCCAGCCATTCACGTCGAAGTTATAAGTAGTGTTTCAGCCCATACTGCTTTCTGAACAAGGCACAATACAGGACAGCCAATCGGGACAGAGGTTATTTACATAAATCAGTCTTCAAAGGCACAGTAACAAAAACATCCTGTTTAATTCTAAGGGATAAAGAGGGTTTGGAAATTGATCATGTAAAAGGAATTAAAACCACACAGACATTATAAGTGGACGTTAAATAAAAAGATAAAGATACAAGGAAAATGTGGAATATGTGCCTTTTAAAGGGAGAAGAGTAGATTATAGGGCAGCAGTAGCTGATTCTTTGCCTCAGCGTTAAACACTGAAGATAACATTTTGTCTGTCCCTTATAAAGTTATGTTTATAGATCCAAGGTTTTATATGACAGCACCATTTGGACGTATTTCCTTTCCATTATATTCCATTATATAAGATAAATTGCTACTGTAGAACGTCCCAAGGTCACTGGAGTTTTTTCCCTCACCCGCTGTGCTGTTTTTCCAGCAATCCAGCATTTGTGGAGCAGGTTTACACGCTGGAATTATAGACGAGGATGGAGGCTGGCTGGATATCACGAGAGTGGGCAGAAGGCAGCGCTTTGCAAAGTCCTACAAAAACGGAGTTCAGACTCTGGCGTAAGTTACAGCTGTGTCACGCTGCAGGCCGTGCTAACTCTGAGGAATGCAGCACCGCTCTCATGTTTATTTTTCATCCATTTCCTCCGCAGGAAAAACCACAGCGCTAATGCCTTCACCGTATCAAAAGTACCAGGTCAGTACAGACTGGTTAACCCTCTAAACCCTGTAAAGGCCTTTTAGAGGTCTGGAGTTATTACTGCAGTTCTGCTGTTCTTCAGATGTAATGACATAATTACGTTTGGTTTATGTTCTGTATTGACTGGTTCAAGTCTGACATTCCATCCACAAAAGACTCAACAGTGTGTTTTCATCAAATTTAAATCATAATGCATACGCTATATGGCCAAAAGTATGTGGACACTCGATCATCACACCTCTATGAGCTTGTTGGGTATCCCATTTCAAAATCATGGGCATTAATATGGAGTTGCCCCTCGCTTGTGGCTGTAACAGCCTCCACCCTTCTGGGAAGCCTTTCCACAACATTTTGGAGTGTGTTTGTGGGAATCAGGCACTGATGTTGGGTGAGAAGGCCTGGCTCACAATCTCTGTTTCAGTTCATTCCAAAGGTGTTCTCTGGGGTTGAGGTCAGGGGTCTGTGCAGTCCAACGGAAACTCCTCCACAACAAACTCATCAAATCATGTCTTTATGGACCTTGCTTTGTGCACAGGGGCTCAGTCGTGCTGGAAAGATGAAAGGGCTTTCCTCAAACTCTTCCCACAAAGATGGAAGCATATGATTGTCTAAAATCTCTCTGTATGCTATGGCATTAACATTACTCTTCACTGGAACTAAGGGGCCTAAAGCCTGAAAAACAGCCCCAGACCATTATCCCTCCTCTACCAGACCAGTATGCAGCGTTCTCCCGGCATCCACTAAACCCAGGTTCAACCATCAGACTGCCAGATAGTGATATGTGGTTCATCTCTCCAGAGGAGTTTGTACTGCTGCAGAGTCTAGTGGAAGTGAGCTTTACACCATTCCAGCCAAGGCTTGGCATTGCACATAGTGCATCTTAGCATTGGAAACCCATTTCACGACACACAATGCTTGTATCACAACAATAGCACTTACAGTTGACTGGGGCAGATCTAGCAGGGCAGAAATTTGTGGCAAAGGTGGCATCCTATGACAGTGCCATGTTTAAAGTCACTGAGGTCTGCAGTATGACTCATTCTACTGCCAGCGTTTGTCTACGAGGATTGCATGGCTTTGTGCTTGATTTTAGACAGTACCCACATACTTTTGGCCATTTAGTGTACCTTCTCTTCTACAGACAAACACAAAGGTGATATAAATTGAAAGCTTAGAATCCACACTTCATGATCATTTTAGTTAACTACATTAAAAAAATACACATACAAATATAAAAAATACAACATGCTTTAGTTATTGCAGGCATTAAACCCCTTAAATTCCCAGGCTAATTACATTGCAAGGCTTATTACTTAGCAACTACATGGAAAGCAGTTGACTAGTTTTTGCAGCTGAGGCTGATCTTGGTTCATCTGTTCCTTTGCAGTTAAAGCCATCACGTGTGACGTGACCGTGGCTCAATACTGTCCTTTCAAGAAGCCTGTCAGGCATTGTCCAAGGTGACTTCATTTCAACAGCAAAATTGCTCCACAGTGACAGCCAAAGATCATTTATGCATGTTATTAATAATGCTGTCAGTTAATAACATAATAACATAACAAGACCATTGTTTTTTTGTTCGTTCGTTCATTCGTTTTTCTTTTTCAGGTTGTTTTGTCCTCGTAACTGCCTGTATGACAGCCATGCCCGCGTCATTGGGACACGTTACTATGCAGATGTAAGTCCTTATTATTTGCTAATGGCTGTCGACATTTACAGATGTATCTCAGCGAGGATTAAACCTAGTCCTGAGGCCTCTTGCTTAGCCAGCTTTAAGCTTAGTTCGATTCAACTGGATTTTTTGTCTCGTGACGGTGGATCATCCTTTACCGGCACTTCATGCTGCACGCATAACCTCCTCCATGGAAGGTTAAGTTGAGGATTTTGGATCATAAACAGCTCTTGGAGCAATCATGGCCAAGTTTCTGACCAATCAGGGACTTCCTCCAATCTTTTTTGGGTCACTTCTTCTTTGTGACGTTTGTGGTGTCAATCACATAAAAAATATTGCCTTTTAGCGGAGGAAAGAAATCATATAAGCAAATATTAGTCCAGTAATCTCTAAATTTCTTCGATTTTTTTTTCTTAGAAAATGAGCCATTCGACCCATGTTTTTACATGATGGGCTATTTATTAAAAGGCATGCACCAATATGGGAACTGTGGGCTGATATCCAGTATTTTTCATGTACCTATCTGCCAAAAAATAAACATTTATAAAATGTAGAAATTTTAGCACAATAGTCTAAACATTCTGCTGATACCGATATGATTCTGATGTCATCAAACATCTGAAACTCCTGTTCGTCCTAAACATCATGCTTTCATGTGCACGGGCAATAAGATTAATCATAGCTTGAGCATCTAAACCTGAGTTTAAGTAAATTATCCACCATCGTGAAACAAGTGAACAGAGGTTGCATTTGTTAGGTTTCGTGAAGCTATAACTTTGTCACAAACCCTGTCTAGGTTGAATGACCTTTGAGAGACAGGCGTCTGGACTGGATTACTGCAACGTAATAGTAACATAAAAGGAGCCTGTATATGCAGAGTCTTGTTTTAGTGGCATCTCTTTACAAACCTGGGTCATTTTAGGTTCCAAGCACAGGAGGGAACACAGAGACTTTTCAAGGCAAACAGTGAGGAATACACATATAGGTAGAAACCTAAACCCAAGTGAATCCAGCACAACAAAATGGGACAGATGTGATTATGTACCCTAAGTGTGAGGAGCCAGGGCAGAGCCAAAATCAGGTGGAGCCATGGTTTGGGTATCATTTGCACTAAATGTGATGCCATTGGAGATTCCCAGCTGAAAATAGTATTGCACAGTACACACACTGTCTTTTCTCTGTCCTCTTGATCAGCGTTCAAGTATCTGTCGGGCAGCGATTCATGCCGGTGTGATTCAGAATGAGTCTGGAGGATACCTGGACGTGATGCCGGTGGACAGAAGGCGGCAGTATACTGGCTCAAACCAGAATGGAATTGCCTCAGAGAGGTACACACATGCTTCCTACCTAAACCGATCAAATTTGCTACTTCTACTTTACTGTCTTCCCCTTAGCCCAAATGTAGTTGATCAGCCAAGACATGGTTTATGTCAGAAGTGTGCTTCTTTAGTTCTGCACTGGATCTGCTAGGCTAATGTAGCCAAAAGGGAATGGGGGTTTAAAAACCAAACATACTGACAAAATTCAGATTTTTTTCCTTTTTTTTTTAGCTATGAGAGACAACAGAGTGTAATGCAGTGTCCAAAACCATATAAGCAGGTGGGCTGGGACCACTTATTAATTTATCTATAATTATTGATAAATGTCCTGCACAGTTTAGGCTTTTTTCCCCTTTTCTTTTGTATGAGCATTCGAAGCTCCAATCCGTGATCTCGAACTCCAGTCCTGGTTTTATTTACACACACAGCAGTGAGTTACCATGTGACTTTCACACGGGGGCACTGCAGAGGAAATGTTATGAAAAACTGTTTTTTTGTTTTCTTTGTTAAGTAGTTTAATGTTTAGGCATTGTGAGTCGATTTTTATGGACGAAAAAAGCAGATGTGATTTTTAAGACACTGAAACTTTAAATCTGGTGCACTTTTTATTAAAGAAGAGGAAGAAAAACTGTATTCATGGATCAGTAACAGCGACAAAGTTATTAATTATAATTTAGCCAGTGCAACTCAAAGCCGCAGACAGTGTGTAACAGCCCGTTCTGCTAAAAAAAGCTTAATCGCCAGCTCACACAGGAGCTGTGTTTGTGATGAGACACTGCTTCAGCTCAGAGTATTAAAAGGACTGAACAAACCATACGTTTAAAAACACCATTATTGTTAATGTTTATGTTTTAAAAAACTCGTTTCAACATTTTTTTTTGTCTGTAAAACTAAAGCTTACAGTGAAAGGCCTTGTGGCTTCATTACCACCTCTGAGGTAGATGGAAACTGTCCTAGATATGTGAAAGTTTTAAATACATTAAATATCGATATTACACATTTCCACCAAAGAGGTCTCCAATTCCCCAAAACTTACCTAATGTAGCTTTAACAGCTCAACGCAGTGTGACCTAAGTGCATGATCATTTAGGCATACAGGTTGCTGGAAACAGCTGTACCAGCCACCTTGAAGCTTGAATATCTGTCCATTTTTATCAGTAACTGTATGTCCTACAGTGTCAGTAACCACGTAAACAAGTCGCTGCAGTTTGAACGAAGTGTGTGGTTGTTTATGCAGGCACAGTGCTAACTGGTGCGTACATGCTTCCATTACCTGTTAGCTGCATTAGCCTCATAGCTTTAGTGCAAAACCAAAGCAAAGAACTACAGACGCCAAACATGACTTGGCTGGTTCACTGCCTTTGAGGTAAGTGGGAAAATGGCTTAAATTAGATTTTTGGCCAAACCACCTCTTTAAAGAAGAGTGGAACACTGTGTGGTTGTTTTAGTAGCACAGTGCGCCAACGATGACCTCTTCTATCTGCCGGTTACCGGTTGGCGATAAATCAGCTGATCTAATTCAACTAATAACCCTCCTGTCTTTACGAGCTTAGCCAATTATTTCGTTTAATGGGCAGATGAACCCAAAGCTTATAGAGATTAGACCGGACCACCCTGGCTGTGGCCTGTCGAGTAGGGGGTGGTTATTTGACTCATAAAGCACATAAATAATTTATCTCTGTCCTTCGAAAGCCAAATGAAAAAATTAGACATTATTCTGTTTTTCCCCCTCAGCCTGCAGAATCCCACAGGAGGCAAAGCGTTCAGAGTGTTCGCAGTCATCTGAACACACTCCAAGGACACACATCCAAACACAGCACTTCGTAGCGCAGCGGCCAGCAGTCACAGCGTTCGTTCACGCTGAGCCTTGTTTACGACCGAAAAGTCTTCTTAATGGGGGGAAAAACAACACAAGAGATTGACATTGACTCCATCTGGCCCCAAGAAGCGTCCACAAGTTTCTGACTTCAGCTTTTATTTTCCTGCATGATGACCATCAGATTTTGGGGACACTTTGCCTGTAATTTTAACATTTCAGTTTTTTGCAGCTTAAACATGTTCATCAAAGTATCTTCTTTTGCCTAAATAATGATTTGAGAGTTTTCTTTTCCAAACTGTTCTTAAAAGTGCATATTGAATGTCTTTTAGCTCCAAAGTGTTTTAAACACCTGAAAGGTCTGACTGCTGACATCATAAGGAAATAACAAGATGGGCAGGCTACTAAATTATCATTTAATTAAAAAAATAAAAATAAAAAAACAAATATTTACACATGGGATCTTGTTTCCCTCAAAATAACCCGACTTGAAGCTCATTTGTACTGAAAACGTTTAGGAGAGCTAAGTGTCCCCAAACTTTTGATAGGCAGTGCATGTGCTATGTATGATATCATGTTGTAAATGATCAACATCTCTTTTGTTGCTGACAATTATTCTTTTTGCAGGGGGTGGGGCGCGGTTGGGGAAGCTGGGGGTGGGCGTGGTTCTGTACAGTGATTTTAAGCACATAAACGTTTTGGTTATGATGTCAAGTAAAAGAATGTGCATGCACATAAACAATATTTTAAACAGCCGAGAGCTTTTGAGAGAGATCACACCCTGTTGCGATGTTTCTGAAGTTTCTATTTTTGTATTTTTTAGAGCAGTGTTGGTTCTAATGCTGCTTACCGTGCGTTCTGCAGTGTGCGCTTTCAGGCTGTTGTAATGGAGTTACCTGGCAGGCCAGGAAGGAATTCGTTCTGAAAGAATTTGAGAAATTTTCCACGAGAGGAGCATGAGAGAGCATGAGGGCGGCGAGACATTCTTCTACATGTATTTATTATTCCACCATGCTGAATAAAAGTATGCTATCAGTTAGGCAGATGGCCATGGACTATTATTTAACCTGTCTCTGAGTAATATGAAATAAGGAGTAAGTGCTATTTTTACATTAAAATAAACCGGAAAATTACAAAAGCTGATGTGGTTTTCTTTCCTGTATAATAGCCTGTATGATGTGTCATATGCAGTGTTTTGTTGATCTTGTAAAATCAACACATCCTCATAGGGAACAAACCTAAATATGGAATTCTCTGCAGAATTTAGTTCAGAATTTCTTTTTTTTTTCCTTTTTTTGGAAAAAAAATCAAATATAAAATGTGCCATAACTTTTGCACAGGCCACATTTTATGCTGTGAGGCTCTTTTAGGTGAACGTTGGGAGCCGCCTCACATTAAGGAGCCTTTTTTGTTTACTCTTTATTATTAATATTATTATTATTTATTTTTATTTTTTTTTGTTCTGCTGGTTCTGCTCAATTATTATTCCCACAAAAGGTTCCGCCCCGTCATTATTCCCAACACCTGCTTTTTGTTAGATCTTGGCTGTATGTCCAAGCGCACCTCGCTAGTTATTCTGATTTTTGACTCTGACCTGCCTTGTTTGTTGAAGACTGGTTGATGCTTTTGTCCCGTGAGTCCTGCCTCTTGAAATCCATCCATTCAACCTACTTACCAATGTCTAGCTTTTTTGTTCTACAACAAATACAACACAATTGTTGTTTATTAGAAAGTAGACAAAGGTTTAGTTTCCACACCAATGGTCTATAATACAGGGTGATTCAAAAAGATTCATCCAATTTCAAAATGATTTATTTCACTTGTAAATGATTACAGATCAATGCAGTGAACTGTAAATGGTTTAATGAGCATAAAGTTTATTATGTAATTGTACAAGGTCTCAGTATGAACCTCCTCCAGCTGTACAGACAACATCAACACCATAGTCAAACTCATCCCATACTCGATTGAGCGTGTCGGGTGTCGCTGCACTCACGGCTCTTTCAGTGCGATTTCGGAGATCATCCAGTGTTGTGGAACCAACGACGAACGCTCTGAGCTGTTGGAGCTTCACTGCCCACGAAAATCACGCTGCACAGTTATGACTGATTCACTCTTATTGAAGTGGAGAACGCAGAACGCTTTCTGCTCAGGGGTCTCATCTCCTCTCAGACTGAAGGGAGCCATCTTCCACTGACAGTCAGAAACTCTATGACCCCCTCTTTCAGTTGGATTGTGATTGGTTCCTAGGTGCCTCACAGTTGTAAAAATACGAAGCTTTGAAATTGGATTGATCTTTTTGAATCACTGTATTATTAACTTGGCTAATCAAAAAAAATGGACCCTGCTTTTGAATGAAGAGCCTTTTGGGAGTCGAAAGAGTCGACTGTTGTTGAAGAGCTGATTGATCTGACTGAGCTGCAATGCCCATCACTACTAAATTCAGACAATAAACAGTAATTGCGCATTGAAATATGCAGAAGCGTGTTCTCTGTAGAGTATTGGTACTTTTTCACTTAAAAATAAAGAAAATGTAATTTGACCAAGATTCTAAATGGGGTGGAGTCATTGCACAAGAGCCTATGGTCGCCATGCCTTATCTGAAGTGACAAAGCTCCATCCAGTACCTTTAGGTTTCAAGTTGTTTGCTACTATTTTTTTTATGAATGCAATTTTTTCCCCTTGTATATCATCATACAGTGTTACACACCATGTAAACTAAGTTTATGTAAGAAAGTGATGATTTAGACCCACAGATTCCATGATGCTACATGCTAACATCACTTTCTAGTTACATTAGCCTTGTAGCTCCAGCACTAAACTGATGGAGCACCATTGATACTGCAATTCAGTCAAAGGCCAGTCATGTCCTAACATTTGTGTTACAAAAAAACCTGGTAAATTAAATTTTCCGCTAAACTGCTTTAGGTAGAAAAATGCTAGGATGACCGCAGATCAAAAACCCCTTCAATACAGCTCTGAACCATTAGTGCCTGTCCAGCTTATTATGCTTTGCAAATAAGCCTAAACCTTGATGACCATGCATTGTTTTTACAGTGCAGTTGTGTTAGTCTTGGAGATTTCCAGCGCTTAAAAAAGCTGAGATGTGCAGAAGGGAAAAAGAACGAAAGCTGATCACACTTCATGCTAAAACACTCGAGCCCTGCTGGCACAGCAAAGGCACCGCAGACAAAGGTGGGCATTGTGATGGTGTGTGTGTGTGTGTTGATTTCAATCTCACATCCTGGATGGCATTTCCTCCCTGCCTGGCACACACGCATAGCAGAGCAGCTTTGGGCCTCCGTCACTCTTCCCTGACTCTCGTTTCCTGCTAATCTACGCTGATCTCATTATGCTGAAGTGAATATGACAGTAACACATCAGAAGGATTTAAGGTTTGATACCTGTGAAAGTTTTTCTTTTCTGCCTGGAACGTCATGCTGTGTTTTTCTTTTCTAAGTTCCTTAGTTGGCGTTAAAAGCTGTCTCACAAACTCTGAAAGCTTGTTGCATGAGGTTAAGAGGTTGTTAATGGTATATATATCGCTGTTGTATGAATAAAAACCTCATATCTCCATTTTTGACATTTTTCAGTTTTTGACATAATTTGAAAATGCCTGTTGTCCTTTACATTGTGTGTAAATTTCACAATGAATGGACTAAAAGAAACGACCCAATATGACTTGGAAAAAAGTCTGGTTCCATTGACTTACATTAATAGTAAAGTAGGTTTTTTCCTTCTCCTGTAAAGTTACCATTTTGGAGATATGAGGTTTTCTTTCGACACCAGTGATAAGTATGTATGTGCGTATGTGTAGCTTTCTATGAATAGAGTCAGCACCAGCTTGAATCATGCTCTACGGTGCAATCATCCTTTTTGGGAACTTCCAGAGTGGCCAGAGTTGGACATGACCACAGGAGGGGCAACACTAGGATCAAGTGGTTTGGTGACATTAACTCTAGTACAGTACTTCTATTGACTAAACATGTCAAACACAACCCTGTGATCACCAGAACCCTCTTCATGAAACCAGAGAAAGAGGAAAAAAGGACACTTGAAAGAGGAAAAGGGAGGGTACGTCTTCTGGAAATGGAAAAAAAAAAACCTGCTGACAAATCCAGGATACATTCACTCTCAATAAATAAATAATACGGTTCTTTAAGGGTTCTTTAGTAAAGAAAATCGTTCTACATAGAACCTTTTTTAGAAAGGTCCTGTATATCACCAAAAAGTTTTTTCTCTATTTATACAAGTTTCACACTGTAACAATAGAAGAACCCTTTTTTGTGCTATATAGAGCCCAGAACTCTTTTCAGAAAGGCTCTATGTTGAACCGTCTGCAGCACATTCTCCGTCAAATTGAAGAACCCTTCTGCAATGCAAAAAAACGATGGTTCTTCAAGGGTTCTTTCGTAGGAAATGGTTCTATATAGGACCATGAACACTCAAGGAACCCCTTGCATGATTAAAAGGTTTCTTGTATAGTGAATTAGTTCTTTAGATTGATGGAGAATGTGATGTACATGGTTCTATATAGAACCTTTTTAAAGAGTTCTTCTATTTATACAATATCTACACAGCAACAATAGGAGAACCCTTTTTTGTGGTACATAGAACACTTTTCAAAGGGCTCTATATAGAACCATCTACAGAACATTCTTAAGAATCCTTTCATGATGCGAAGAACCCTTTAATCGTGCAAAGTGTTCTTTGAGTGTTCATGGTTCTGTGTAGAACCATCTTCTTTACTAAAGAACCCCTGAAGAGCCATCTAAGTGTGTAGAGTAGTTCAAGGCATCCTGGATGCAGCCTTTTCTCCAAAAACTGACACGGAAAAGATTACGTCATTGTTCCAACCTTGGATGACGTATAGCTCTCCAAAACAATGACCATTGCTGGTGGATGCTGGACAGCCGTGTCTTATTCCTCTTCTTGTAGTCAAGACGCTAATGCTGTGCACCTTTGATCCCAAGTGCGATACTGTCTGGAGCGCTGGAAGCGTTTTGGAAGGGTCAGCCAAGGCAGTAGAGCCAAGGGGGAGGTGTGCAGCCCACAGCCTGAATGGAAGATTATAACAACACAAATACTGATGTAGCTGTGTAGAATCCATTCCACTGGAAAAGAATCTGACTCTGTGGAGGATAATGTGGTGGATGACCACGCACCAGTCACCCCACACTAATGT